GGCTGGATGGGTACCAACCCCTTATCTATTCCTCCCGCCAAGCAACAATGATTGCATTGTGTTCCCGTTGGAAGGATAAGGTAGCCAGAGCAATTACAGGCAAGAGGTATATTATCTTAGTCCTTACAGTGATAACGTACCGGCGGTTCTGCAGTTTTGTTATGTAAAACCTAAGTGCATGAACCGTAGGTGTTATGGGCGACAGTTACCACTTTCCATCAGGTGGGCTGTCTGATTTATCACTGAGTACCATAAAAAAAACTAGTATAATACGACCAATTGTTAACTAAGAGAATTAAGTAAGTGCCTACGAGTACGCATGTGCTTATAATATTCAAATTATTTTATAATGAGTTCAACTGTCACCATGATCGTAATTCGAAATTGACGTGACTAAAATTAACCCTTTCACAATTTAACGCTAATATTCACGACAGTTATTTAAGTCCACGATAAATTTCTTAAAACACTTATCTTGACAGATTCGTACATCATTAGGTTTTTCTATTTGTGTTCCCGTTTGCATTGTTAAATTTGTCACGCGACAAACGTCCCGTTGACTGATGCTGGCATAAATAACTTACGAGAAGATTTAATGAACTTTCATTTAAACTAATTAATTTGGTATATTCTTATATTTATATTATTTTATTAAGAAGCTGTAATAAAATGATTACTCTACAAATAATATGTGTTTGATATGATATCACACACGCGTTTATGTTAATTTATTTAATTATGCATCTATTGTATGATAATTGTTAATAACAATAACAAATTGCTATATATATTGATAATAATAGAAAATAACGGGAAAATAAAAAAAATAATCAAAAGAACAAACTTTGTATGTGAATAGCAGCGGTCAGCGCGAATCAATGAAGGTAGTGATTTGAATTCTAAAGGAGCTTGCATGCTTGGTTGCATTAAATCTCTGCACATTTGATATCTATACTTATATTATGAGTGTGAAAGAAACTCTATCTGTTTGATTGTTACCATTTCACACTTAAAATTATAAGCAGATTTCGATGAAATTTGGCGAGGATATAGATTATTCTATGGAAGGGACATTAACTATCTTTTTCTCCTGTCCCATTTACTACACGAGCAGAACCGTGGGCAATAACTAGTCAGAAATAAAATAAAAAATTAGAACTTGTTGCATTTTGAGATGATCAATTTTTTTACATTCATAATAGATACGTAAAAAATCAAGTGTTATATTTTAATTATGTTTTTTCATAGTATTAGAAGCAATATATCATTTTTAAAGCCTTATGTTTATTTTCGTCAAACATATAAACATTCGTATTTAAATGATATATCGTAGTCTAAAACTGTAACTGAAATGACGAGAGCATTTAACGGTCGGCCGGAATGTCGTTGTCGTAAATATAATTTCCCGACAGCTTCATTTAAATACCTTTTGTCAATGAACGGGTTAAACACGTCGCGGCGCCGATAAAAAAGATATATGGCGGGGTTACCGTCGCTACCGTTGTCGCTACAGATTTATTATTTTCATAATTGCTTCATGAGACAAATATTTTAATTAGATTAACTTAGATGAGGTGTCAATGATAACAACTTTCATAACTTGTCTATTAATAGTTGAAAATAGTGCTTGTACTATTTATAGTTTAACTAGCGATTCGCCCTCGCTTTGCTCGGGTTCGTCCCTAGGTACGTTTTAACGGTTACGGTATACTACTATACACATACATACGTATGATGAATTTTTTGGGTTGAATTATAACGTGTTTCCCGTGGGGTTGAGATATTCTCAAGCGGTAAGTCGTCTATGTCACTCTCCAGCCCTTCAGCTATCTCTACACAACAAATCCCGCCAATCTGTCACTCTGTTTATATGTATTAAAAGGACAAACAAACAAACTTACTTTTACATTTATATGATTAAGTATGGATTTTAAGTAAACACGCTTTATGAAATATTGTATAAAATTATGAAATCTTAAAGATACAATTCTATATAGGTAAGTAGATAGATGATCAACAAACAAGAAGACTAAAATATATATTATATATGTTATTATTATGTTATTTATGTTATTGTTATTATATTATTTATATTATGTTATTTGCTTCCCAATACTATCTTCCCCATTTTCACCTCCTAAGGGATGATTTCCGGGATAAAAAGTATCCTATGTCCTTCTCAGGGTCTCAAACTATCTTTTTACCAAATTTCATCTAATTCGGTTTAGTAGATCCAAAGATTACTCTCTACAACCTCACAAGCTCACAAACTTTACCTCTTTATAATATGTATTAGTATAGATGTAAATATAAAATTTTTAACACCAAAATAGAAGAACTTGATAATTGAACATATTACAAAAGACACATTATTCATATACCTAGGCATGCTTATTTTATTATTTATAATAGATCTACTACTTTAATGGCTTCTAGTGTTCTTACTTGATCTTGTAATAGCTAGTTTTTTGTTCTATTAAGAAAACACAAACCAAGAAAGGAGTCTCCATTAATAAAACAATGTATTTGTAATAAATACTTAATAAATAAGTTTAATTATAACCAAAATTACCTCAATCCCATTTAATAAATTAGGTATGAATAGTAAATATTCCCTGTATTAACAATATTTTATAATTTTTTCTTTCTAAGTGGACTACAATAACACAACATCTCAAAAAGTTTACCTAAAATAAACACTCCAAATAGACCTAATCTGCACTTAAAATGTTGGAACCTACAAAAAGTATATTTTTTATCTAGAGTGACAGATCTCGAGACAGCTTTTGTGCCACTCTAAGCTAATATAAAATCGCCAATGTAAAGGTAACTGTTTCATGGATTTGTCGATATCCACTCTCAGGGACAACAATGCATCAAGCACCTTAATCCCGACAACAGCCATTTAGGGATATTACAAATAAAAGTTTGTCGGTCGGTTCGACTCAATGCCACAATAGCCATTGACGGGGCTCCACGCTGCGCGCCTTGAATGGGCCAGCGCCAAAAAAATCTATTAGACACGCATAATAGATTTGATGTATCGATGTGTCCTCATCGATTTACGGATGTGATTGTGTATTGATTGTATATTGATTTTATTAACAGTTTAGAGTAGAATGATTTAGATAAAAATGTTAAATATAAACAACAAACAAATCTCCATAATAATAGCAAGACAGATTGCTAGATCATTAATTGTGTGGCACATTTAAAACAACGTTTGCGCGAAAATTAACTTGATATAATTTAGCATTGATTGGAAAAGCTTAGTAGGTAGGTCCTAAAATTCTGTAGCATATGAGTTGAAGTAAAGTTAATTTTAGTAGAGAAAAGTTAAGCAAAATAAATAAATAGTTGTTATAAATATTAAAATAGTAACATAGATTAAATACCTAGTAAATATTGGCATATTTAACTAATTCTCAGCACGGGCCTCCCTTCAATACGAGGGGAATCAGGCCACCACGCTGGCCAAGTGCGGGTTGACGGACTTCACATGTCTTTCGAAAACTTGCTAGGTTTTCTCAGACATTCGTTCGTTTGCTCACGATGTTTTCCTTCACCGTAAGGCAAGTGGTAATCGAGTTAGAAATGATTAGCACATGAAAATATTAAAGGTGCGAGACTCGGGATTTGAACTCGCTTCACTCGGTTTCCCAAGCGAGCGCGTTACCACTGGGCTACCACTGGCTTCTCAGTAGGTAGATATATTACATATTACATATATATATTTGTTTAACAACCATACATATAACTAATATGGTATAATGTACCTATCCATTGTTTGCTAGTAAAATAAAATTATCAAATTTTATGTTAGTGAAATAGAAAGATTACTTTCAATTGTAAATCTTATTGGAACAATAGCTTATTGTTCTTCATTTCAACGCTTCATAAATCTAATAACAAGCCACAATTTACAAATAGAAATTAACTATAGAGGCTGAGAGAAACTGATTAAAACTCTGTATCTACATAAGTCAGATGATTAAAGAAAATATCTACTTGTATACCTATAATAATAAAATTGTAACTAAGCCGAATCTGTACATTAAATATTTTTTGGAAAATCTTATTGAAATAAACATTATTATCGACACAGAGGCCTAATCTATAGTTTTTAGAATTTTTGTGTCTGTCTGTCTGTTTGTCTCTCTGTTACCGCATCCTAAAAAACCACTAGAGGAATTTTCATGAAATTTGGTATGGTAATAGCTGGTTATCCGGATCAACATATAGGATACTTTTTACCGCGGGAAAATATGTATCTCATTTCTGAGAAAAAATGCAAAAACTGCAATGAAAGTGTATACTAATATGTAAAACCTAAAAAAATGTTTTTTGGACATCTGAACGCGGGCGGAGTCGTGGGCAATGCTAGTTTGTAATAAAATAAGATAAAACTTCTCAACGGATTTTAAGGTCCTGCGGTTGGCTTATAACCTTATCTATCTATAGTAATATAATATAAAGAGGAAAGATTTGTTTGTTTATAGTCAATAAACTCTGAAATTAGTTTTTGAAAAAAAAAATTAAACTCAACTTAAAATATACTATGCAAAAAGATTCATTTATCTTGGGAAAAATAGGCATAACGTTAACACATTTACCGACGGTAAATTTACAATTCAATAAGAAAAATATATATACATAAATACTGTACCTACCTATTGTATCTACCTACCTATTTATTTTAAAATTGTAACTAACCCTTCACAATCGTGTTGAGGTAACAGTAAAGTATTAACAACTAGTTTTAGAAATTTAATTATTATTAACATAAAAAGACAGCTATTGTTAGGTTGCAAATAAATAAACAATATTTAAATAAATAAAATTTACATATCAAAATCATTTAAGATAGAGTCTAAAATTATCATGGATATCAATTTTCATCGATACTGACTAGGTATTCACCGATCACTATTAAATATTGTTAAAAACTGTAAATATTTTGTTAAAAATTTAACCTGATAGTGTAAAAATAAATAACTTACAATTGATTTATTTGGAGGCGCCGGGAGCGGCGCGTACATATCGGTTATCATTGTCCACTAAAGGCACATATCAATAAAGCACAAATAAAAGTTCACACGTAAAGTATTATCACTCGGAGGCGCATTTACATGACGTCTCGTATCGCGGCGCGCGAGTTTACGTTTACGAGTGCGGGTGAGCGCACGACGTGGGGGGCGGGGTGGGCGTCTCTAACCAATCCCGGCCTCTTATTGAGCTCCGCCCACACTAAGCCCCGCCTACAAACTCGCCACGTATATCGATCGCACGCGCGACTCCATTTTATTTCGGCACCCTTGATTTGCATAAACTTTTTTATTTGAAATTGACGTTAAGATGGGCCGCAATTGTTACTTTAATCTTGGCGAAAGGTCTAAGATGACTTTATTTTGAAAGCCTTAAAGCAGTTTGAGGTTTTAGTAAGAATATTACTTAAAAAATCTCCACTACGGCACTTGAAGGTGTAAACACCCACGAATACATAAAATCGCTGTAACAGGTCAAAATATAGATAAATGGGAAATTAATTAAAACAAATAGACACAATATAAACTTCTTACTATTTTTGCTTATCTGTCATTTTTATTTTTAACTATGGATTTTAGCATTCTAGATTTACTTAGCGAAGTTCAATGAATCCTTTTTTAATGTAGGTATAGTTAGTATTAAAAACAGTTTTAAAAACATAGTTAACTTTTATTTTAGTTGGTCGAGCCTCCGCTTTACGTGCTCTTGTAGAGATTCTCAAGGTTCAAACTAAATAGAAATACCCAACCTGTACTTACATAGATTTGTTATTGTAAACGAAGTAGGTACCTACCCCGACACCAGTAGGTATAAAGCATTCGGAAACCACTTTAAATAATAATTTTCATAAAATAACAATTTAATCAATAACATTATTAGTAACGAATATCATGATGTTTACAATTTAACAATATAGGTACCTATCTAGTGATAATTCATTTCCTTTGACATGAAAAAATCGTTATGCTCTAAATATACCTACAGAAAGAGCAATTAAAAATATATTACTTATCTACAATGTTTCTATATTTTTATTTTTCTATAAGATACGTACTTAAATATTTACTAAATAATTGCTAAATACAAATCAATATGCAGTCAATCAAGAATCAAATTAAAGCTTAGATTCTTAGTACTTAGTAGAAAATAAATAATACTCAACTACCTACGTGCCTATATAAAAAATTAAATATAACAATGTATTTTTTTACTTTTTTTCTCTAATATCTGTTTAAATGTCAGATGCTACCACGAGGGTGTTAAATATAACGAAAAATAATGTTCAACAAAAAAGCTTAATCAGAAAACCGAATAATAATTCATAACGATATAAAACATCACCTGAAGAAAAAAATGGGATGGCGCCCTTACGCACCCTGGAAATCCATCGTAGCGACCGCTAAACATATCCAACCGAAACGTCGTCGCTTTAAGAATAGCTTAAGCGGCTAATAGTTTTATGACACGCATATCCGGTAGATTTTTCTACCTGTATCCAAACAACAATCTCCCTTATACCTAACACATTAAGATGTATCATCCCTTTAAAGAGCGGACGGAAATGACAGTCGCAGGGCATTATACGACATTAGATAGGGGAGCTACTAGGTTTATAAAGTAGTAAAATTGTAGATAGGTGTACGAAGGGTGAAAGGATAAAAATGGGCGTGTCCGGGATAACGAAATAAAACGCCCGGGGCTCGACCGTGCGAACTTCGCTTAACGAAATAAACATTTTAATTTGAACACGAAATTCACGCTGAGATGTAAAATTACAGCATGAGTGGGCGTTGAACGAAGAATATCGAATTATGAGGATATTTCATGAGCAATGTGCCATTTTATACACCAATAGACTTTTTGAGTAGGGCGTTTTAAACAGAAAATGCCATTCACTTCTACCGATAGACAATACGTAAGTAACTATTAAAGTCGTTGTAATTTGTTTGATTTAGTCAATATATTTATTTAATACTAGTGACTTACTCTCGAATCGCTCGGGTGCTTTCCTAAGTGCTTAAAAAGCCGATAAAGTAATCTTATACCAATTACTGACAATTATTTCTTTTTTTCATAAAAAAATATCCTATAGTAGTCGGCGGTAATGGACATAGCTTCCTATTAGTGAAAAAAAATTCAGATTCGGTCAGTATGTACTTTCAGAGATTACCACGTACATACACATTTCCAAGCTTTACCTATTTATAATATATGTGTAGATTTTCTATGATTCTATATGTAATAATTTATTATTAATTATAAAGTATGCCTTCTTATAAAAAGATTAGCGACGCACCCTCGCTTCGCTCGGGTTCGTCCCTAGATTGATTCCTTATAAAACTTTTATCCCCATTTTCACCCCCCTAAGGGATGATTTCCGGGATAAAAAGTATCCTATGTCCTTCTCAGGGTCTCAAACTACCTTCTTATTAAAATTTATCAAAATCTGTTCTGTAGATCCAGAGATTACCCCCTACAACGTCACATACTCACAATCTCACAAACTTTACCTCTTTGTAATATCAGTATAGATTTAAATTCAATGATATAATCATATACCTATAGTGTTTTATAATCTAAATAGACGAATTAGCGTGTAGGTATAGACTGCAGAGATTAGATTGGACCAACCGGCGTCGACAAATGACCGGCTGAAGCTGCGGAAGTGAGCGACGCCGGATCATATCATCGACTATCACATTTCATGACTTTGATATGCGGATGTATGCAGTTTGTAAATTGACTGTTTGGTTTATTGTTTGGAGGTTTTCGATTATTTGTCTATTCTAGTTACGGGTTCCGTGATATACATACATACAATAGGTATATACCTATGAGAAACCAATATAATAATTCGAAAACGCTAAATAAATAAGCTCTTGAAAAAATCTTTTTTTTTTATTTTATTTGGCGCCTATATTTTCTTTCCCATTTCAATGTGACAGACTGATTTTAATGCTTTTATTTTTATTCTCATGTTGGCTTAGTCGATATGGTACTTAGCTAAAGCTACTATATTTGATGATACCTAGCGGCTGAAAAAAATTATTACTTTCCTTGAGAATTTGAAATTCCTTGTTTGAGAACTTCATAAGCATATGGAATATTAATATATACCATTTTATAAATAATCTTTCTGACTGAATTCTTCTTAAGAAATTAAATCAGATATACATACGAGTAACATAAACATACAACATGTACATGTACAACATACAACATGTGTGTAGGTTCACGCAATAGATCTCGATAAGTAGTTTGATTAAGCGACGAGCTCTGAAAATAGAGGTGGAAAACTACTTCATAAGCCATGCTTTAAATAAAATTAAATTAAAACTAAAAATGGACCATAAAATGATCATAAAAAGTTTAAAATGAAGATATGATCTCTAAATCATTATTAACACTAAAATGCACTAGAGGGTTTTTAGAGAACCGTCGAGAATACAAAGTATCAAAATAATAAACATTTACATAAAATATCTAACTTTCATGTGATATTTCAATTAGATAAACCGTAGTAGATAGGTACATACATGTTTTTACACATGGCTACATATAGTTATAATTTAATTTTGCCAGTTTATGACTACTACCTACGTGTTTTGTTTACTAAGGTGTCTCACGATGCAATAAAGAAACAACAATAACTTGAAACAATAATTATCTATATATCTTTTATATTTTAAATGGATTTTATAAGACGGTGTTCATTTTTAAGTAATAATTTTTGTATCCACTATGTTTTACAACACTAGGCAAAATAAATCGTTAACACATATTAGGTACACGTATTACACCAGGCAATTGTATTAGAAAGTTGTATTCAGGTATAATGCGAAAGTTGTAACATTACAACTAACGAATTAAATATTGCAACATAATCTATCTTATCTAATATTGTGTCAATTATCCAATCAAATAAGTTTTGTTTAATTCAGTTTGAAATAGTGACTACCTATTTTTAAAGTTATTCGTGGAAAAAATAATTATTGTAAACAATCAACGAGGGCTAAAAAATCCAATATTAATTAAAGAGCTTAAAAGCTTACATATTTATTTTAAAGATCTATTTTTATATTTTTGAACTGAAAGGCTTTTGATACGAAAACCTTAAAAAAAACATAGAATTGAAACCAACGTACTTTACGTTACGTTTTTGAATATAATATAGTTTCAAGCTAGCTCTGAAGGTAAAAACATTTTATTCTATATTGAATCATCCGTTTAAATCGCACGAGACAGAGAAAAATATTATAAATAAAATAGAAAAAGTATAACAATTTGTTAAAAAAATACTATTGTTTATAATAAGTGTTTCTTATAACCATTTTATATTAAAAAAAACCTAATATCTAAAAAGTCCTTGTGAAGTGTCTATAAATTGAGAAACTTAGTATATATCTCGTAGTCGAAAAGTTAGTGAGGAGGACTTGAAGTACCTCAAGAAGGTGACTCCCACAAGGGGAGACCCCTTTCTTCCTAAAGCTTCAAGTCTTTCAAGTGCCTCCACTCGAAAGCTTAGGCACAAATAGTAGTTATTACTACTAACGGAGAGTCTATGTTCGTATCAAAGTAAAGCTAACTTTCCTAACTTGCTATCAAGTGAATACTATTCTTATTGGACTAAAAATAAAGTTAATGTTGCATTGGCAAGCCATTATGTATATGTATATGCATATCCCTGTGTGTATACATAATAGAGCACCTTACAACCACTTTCAGTAACTCGATGTGGCCCCCATGAATTTTCTTTGCATTTTGTATGTGTCATGGATGGCCACTCTAACCGATTTCCACTTAAGGAAATGCCTTTGAGCTATCTAAGTTTGTATATAAAAGTTAAAGCTCCTTTCCTACATTTTTAATTTTATGCTTTTTTTTATTTTTGGATGTTTAGTATTTATTTATACCGTAATCAATGTTAGGTAAATAATTTTCGTTAATTAATATTTAATATATATAGAAAAATTATAAAAAAATCTATGATGTACGACAGATTTTA